CCCCCCCCCCCCCCCCCACCCTCCCCACTCACCTTCCCACTCCCTCATCACCCCCCCCCCCCCCCCCCCCCATCCACACCACGCCACCTGACTCTCTCTCGCACCTGAAAAAGAAGATGATCAAGTTCGTTGCTGCCCTGCTCCTCGCTGCCGCCCTTGCAGCCACCTGCAGTGCCGGACATGCGGAGAACGTGCCGGATTGGCCCACGGGCTTCTCCACCACATACTACTACGTACGTTACTTGATGCGGAAGGGGAAGGAGGGCATGTGTGGAATGGAAGCAGTCTGCCAAGGTCAGGCTACCTCCGCTGGTGCTGTCGGTCACACAACGTCTTGGCACGCCCCATCGCTAATGGCCATGGCCCGCGCTCACTCATGCAAGTACGACACACACACTCACTCACACACGCTCTCATGTCTGGGGATGTTTGCTCTGGATTCTCGATGGGTACACATGGGCTCTTGCGATGGATCGGTGTGGATGGCTCGGCTCCATCTGGTCGGATACAATCGGTCTCTGCGCGGTTGGCCCCGCATGTGTTCTCGCACGTGTGGGTCGCCCTGGTGGATCGACATGGCATCGCCTCTGACACCCTCGGTCTCGGCTGGATCGACCCCGGATGCATGCGCGCACGTGGGGGGACTCCCCATCTCTCACCCTCGCCTCGCTCTGCTGACCATGCTGGTTGCGTGTGCAGGTTGTGGAGGACTCGACCACGGGCAAGAACGAGACGACCGAGGCCGAGATGTTCTACTCGTACACTGATGAACTCAAGGGCTGGGTCTGGGCCATGCAGGAGGACGTTGGAGCTTGCCGCGCCTACGCCGTTGCCGAGGGCAAGAACGAGACTCAGGCGTGCGTCGTCCAGTTTGCCACCGACTCAAGGTCTACATGATGCTGCCCGAGTCGGACCTCTGCTGCGAGATCGCTCCGGTTGGCCCGGTCTTCCCCTCGTGGGTCGCCAACTTTACGTACGAAACGACCGTGCCGTACGGTTCGGAGGAGAAGGCTGATGTCTTTGAGTTCCAGGCCAACCAGCTCAACTTCTACCTCATGCTCGCCGACTCGCACGACATCACCGACTCGCTTGGTTTTGGCATTATCAAGCCGTTCTTCGGCTTCTTCTTTGAGCAGGGCACGTTTGAGGTCGCTCCACAGCCGCCGCAGTACTTTGCGCCGCAACCGATGTGCGCCTCCGCCACCTCGTGCTCGTCCTCGGTCTCGAGCTCGCTCGCTGCCTTCCTCTAGTTACCGTGGTAAACGCCGTGGCTCTTTTGGCTCACTCGACCGAAGTCACTGCAGCCACAAACTTGTCACCAACACGGATCTTGACAGGCTCGCCGACCTTTAGCGGCAGCGTCGACTGCCCGGACCGCAGCCGCGCCAAGCCTACCACTGCGTGGGTCACCGGCAGCGCGCCGTCAAGGTGCAGCGCCGTCGTCGCCGCCGCCGCCAGGCCACCAAACGACATGATTGGCTCCACCACAAGCTCAGAGTACAACGGGTCGCCGTCAATCTTGACCAGCGCCCGCCGCGCAGGCTCTCCGTTGCCATCGATGCCGGCGACGTCGTCTAGCAGCGCCGCAGCCGCCTCCGCCAACGCAGCCTCGCCGGCTGTGTGCGGCTTGTATGCGGCTCCCGGAATGTACACTGCCTCGCCCGACGGCACGGTCAAATCGTAACCATCAAGCTCAGCGTCATCAGCCATTGCTGCTGCCGCCGCTGCTGCCGGCGTGTACACCTTGCCGCTCGCTGCGTCGACCCAGACCACCGTCTCCAGCTCGTCGTCGGTCGAGACGTCGCCGACGTACACCTTTTCCGGCACAACCGCATCATGAAAGTAGACACCTGCCGGGCGGATGGAGCCGTCATCAATGACTCTGTCCGACAGCACGTACTCGTCGCGGTTGGCGTCAGTGATCTCGACCTCGTGGCCGGCATCGTCGACCCAAACCATGGTCGTTTCGTACGATGAATCGTCACCCAACAGCCGCGCCACCTCATCGCTGCTCATGGAGAAAATCTCAATCTCAACCTCACTCTCCTCATCGGCAGCAGCCTCATCGGCCATCCACCGGGCGAGCTCGGCCACGAGGGCCGCAGCGTGCGACGCCGACCTGGCCTCAAACGGAAGGACCTCGCCGCCATCGACAACAATGACAAACACAGCAGCCTTTCGCGCATGTGACAGTCTCGGATACTCTTTAGGCAGCAGGCGCGGACTCGCTTCGATGCCCATAATAGCCGCAGCAGGCAGGAGCAGCTGGCCAACCTTGGCCGGGCCGCCTCGCTCTCCTCCTCGAGGCACTTCAAAGACAACCCACTCGCCAGCAAACTCACTCCGTCGCCCACGCCGCACCTCATACTCGCAAGCCATTTGCCCTTGCCTACCTCCCACCACCACCAATCAAGTTGCGGCCACGTCGAGTCGAGTCGGGTTGGTCGCACGTTCAATGGCTATAGATAGGTCGAGCAACACGGGTAGTCTCGAGTCGGACGGGGAGGGGGGGGGGGGTCCCCCCGCCTCCCGGCATACCGATGCGCTAAGACCGGTATTTCCAGATCTGTGTCTCATCTGTAACGATCAGATGAGAATGGATGATGAAACATAAGGTCATATGTCTACCCTAATGCTTCCTTGTGTTGGGCAAGGAGTGGTGCGGTTGCGGTGGAGGGAGATTGTTGGTCATGTGGTGAATTGGAGGATGACTCGAATGATGGCAGGGAGGGGACGCAGCAGAACCAACAGCAGCAGCAGGACACCGACCACCACCACTACCACCTCTCCTCCTCTCCCTCCTTGTCCCCCATGCTCGGACAAGCTGCCGAGGGCGATACTGCCCCGCAGGCTGCTGCTACTACTACCGACACTCCAGCAACCTCTATCCCTCCCCCTCCTACCTCTTCTGCATCTACCACTCCCGCAACACCCTCTCCGTACGTTCCTCTCCCTCTGTTCCCCCCCCCCCCCTTCCCCTCCCGTGGCCGCTGGCCCTGCCACGAAACCCGCTCACTTTGACCAAAGAACCCATCCCCCTGCCACCCTGCCACCCTTTACCACCCCCTTCCCCCCCTCCCTCCCTCCCCCCCTTCCCCCCCTTCCCCCCCCTGTGCCCTACATTCCCGAAAC